ATATATTTTGGCTTTTCTCGTTTAATACTTCAGACACATTTTTATCTGACTTGATAAATTATTTTAATTTTAGAGTCTGAAAAACGTTTCTTCAAGCTCACCTTTCCATTTTTTGAAGATATTCCACTATAGCTGCTTCAATGGTTCTTGGCTTAATTTTTGCACAAAAAATAGCAAAAGCTTTTAAAAGCCATTCTTTCAACAAAACTTTTTTGGGCATGCAAAAATGTTATGAAAATTTGCTGGTCCTCAGAAAATTTCATGAACCTTTGCTGCTCCTCAGAAAATTTCATGAACCTTTGCTGGACCTCAGAAAATTGTTTGAAAATTTGCCAGTCCATGGGAACAAAAAGGTTGGGGAACACTGCTATGCAGTACTGCATTTGAATAGCACAAATTCACTTTCAACATCCATACTTTTTTTTTCTAATTGGCTACACTTTTGCGATCTTCCAATGCATTATTTTGATACTATTCTGTTTACAAGCATACTTATGTGATCGTCCCATAAATTATTTTGATTTGACTCCGTTCACACGAATCAGCACGCACAGGACATTTGAGAAGAATGCCGTTATGCTTCAATCCTGCAAGAATTGTAACTTACTGACTCGGCCAAAGCTCACGCAAAAAATTGAAAACGATATCGTTGACTCTAATTCTCTTAGAATTGGCATAACCTGACTCAACAACTATTTCATGCCCAAACCTTCAAAATTACAGGTAACCTGATCTAACAAAGTCGAAAATTGAATTCTTTTTATTGTTGAAAACCAGACATACGATATCACAGCAGCTGCACTTGGATCTGCATGCTTTCAGCACCTTTGGATGCACAGAGAATCTTAGAATGTTAAAGGGAACCAATTACGCAAGAAATATAATGGCCTAACCTGTATATCTAATGCCTAATGAGACTTGAAACAGTCGTCAGTCACCCAGAATTCGGCCAGGTTGAGAATATTGTTACCATGTAAATTTCCCAAATATTGTTCGGTGAACCCTCGATCAACATCCAGCTTGAACAGGGACCAATTTGCTCAACAACAACAAAACAAAAATACCACTGGTAGGAGTGAGAAACCTATGTTCCTTTTCACTTAATACATGCTGGTAACAATTGGTTCCTCGTTGCAATTTGAGCGTTCTTTTGACAAATCAAGTTCATTTCCAATGTGGAGTTCAAATTAAAACATCACTGCGATTATGCACAATCTGATTTCTAACTCAACTTTCATAAGCTTTTGTGAAATGAAGAAAAATCTGTGGAAACTTGCACACTAGATGCATTACTTCCTACAGTCGTTACATTGCCAAGTCGTATTTTTCCAACGCCATATTTACCCAAGTACCATTCGTTTTATTTTATTTTTTAAATAAAATCAAGAATAAGTTGCGTGAGCCTCAAGGGTATGGGTCACAAAATTGTGAAGTAGATTTTAAAATTTGAGGGGCTCATGAAGCTTTGAAGAACATTTTGAACCCATTAAAACAGCCATATTAACAAAACGATGATACTGTATACCTTTGGTAAAAAACCAATATTGTAATTTACTATTTACTTCCGCTTCAATTTTTTATTCACCTCATTAAACATGCATAAATTATTTGAAATTACTTTTTAAATAAAAATGCTATGACTAAAAGTAGAGGGTGGGGGTGTCAAGTAAAAATGGCTAAGATGACATTCAAGATTGATTTCTCCATGTTGCACATCAGAGGAAATTTCCAAAAGGGTCATCACCTGTCTATAATTTCTTAAATATATCCAACACGAATAACTCGGAATAACTTATTAAAGGTGCACAGACTACGCAGAGAATGATATACTGTAGCATAAAAGGGGCAAAATGTTGATCAAGGACATACTGTACAGTACAGCATTCAGGTAAGCATGCCCCATTGAAGTGTTATTCGTAGAAGTTTTTCTGCATGTGTTGACTTAGTTAAAACTAGATATATTGACAAATATGATAAAATCTAGTTTCAAAAAAGCCAATTTGACATTGAAATCAGTTTTGGGAAAAAAGTGTATTGTACAAAAGTTTGAATAATATTGTGACTCTCGAACAGGAACCAAAAAGTGCCATGTTAAAAATAATTTGGGGCACCAAGAGTTTTGGTGATGAGATTCTAATGCATTTAAAATGAATTATTAAAAGTTTATTACAGTAACACTGATTTTGAACACGCGTTTTCACACCTTAGTCCGTGGATGATTCGAGGATATGAAAATCATGAAGGCTATTTAAACCAAGCAAAATGAATTCCCTTTGATATGAATCATTAGCGTATGCTTCAAGTAATTATTTGAATAGAACGAAAACAATTAAATAATTTTTGAGCGATGGCGTCATACATAGTTCAGGTTTCTCGTTTCTTAATCTCCTCCCGGTACTCATAGATATTAATGATGCGTTCAAAAGTACATTCGGGGAAAGCATGCTGCTGGGTAAGCGTCATGTGTCAGTATTCCCGATATAATAGAAGCCACTTCTTTTGCAAACGATTCGATAAAAAGGCCTCATTATTTTATTTTAGCTCTATATTACCTGTCGTGTGGATGCAGCGAGGCAGCGTAAGCTGAAGGTGAGATTGCACGTGGCTGGTTTGTGATTGGATCAGCTAATCGTAGAAGTGAAAGACTGTACTGTAAAAAATATTTATGGATGTTTTCGTCAATATTTTCACAACACCAAGAGCTTATGTTCTTCATGTTACCACGTATACGATACTAAACGATCAATTTCTGCGTGACATTCTTTTTTTTTTTTTAGAAAGTAACTGCAAAATAAGCCCTTTTCAAAGCTAATTTTAGCAGTGCAGTATTTCATTGACAGCGTATGTGTATGGCGCATTGCACACATACACTGTATAGGTGCGCATCCACATTTTTCTTACACGACCTGTTTTACCATAGTTGTTAGTTTTAAGACAATGTTGTACATTGTGAAAGTAATCCGCAAAAATTTTCCCTTACAAGCAACACAGTACAGTACTGTAATATGAAGCTCCATCAGCATGAAGTACTGATTAATGCCTCGAAAGCACCATTCAGCAGAAGAAATTCGTTATTGGCGAATAGGATACAGTATTGTAAATGGTTTGACCTCGACGACGGTTATATTTACAGTATTCACAATTGTAGATTGGAATTGATGTCAAACTGCGTAAAGGTACTATTTTACGCATGTAATCTGGTAGTTTACTCGCATTGCTGTGCTAGATTCGAGTCTATAGTTGTTCAGAATTTCAACTAGTGTATAATCATCAGATTCCCCTATGAACAGGTAGCAACCGAATTAAAGTTTAAGAATTTTAATTACAACTTGGAAACACAATACCCTTCATTTTCTAAATTGTAGATGAGCTAGTGAACTACCGGCAAAGAAAGTGCCTAAATTGGACAAGAGTAGACTTATTCACAATAAGGTGCTCATTTATCATATACGGTATACAACTTTACGGTATTGATGCATCGCAGCAAAGAACCTGCAAACCATGAGAATGGGACAGATCTCATGATATTATTTAGGAAGCGCTGAGGTGTGCCTCTATAAAAATAATAAGAACTGTTTTATTCAGTAAAGTAGTACTGTACATAGTCTCCTGAAGTTTATTTAAAAAAAAATCAAAATCAACTCGAGAAGTTCGTCGTGAGGTCGCAGCGATTATAGAATCATAATCCCGGCACGATACTTTGACTGACCTCTTACTCTTGTTAAATGTACAATAACTCTAATAGTGTCTTTTCCCTAATAGAGGGAGTAGTATAGTATGTCTCCCAGTTCTCAGGCAAAATTGTTGCGCCAAGCGCCGGCCCTATAGCCACTCACCCTTCTGCAGTACAGTACTGTACTATCCTAGTGTCATGCTCAAAGTAGTCGTCAGTCAGTTGAAAGGAATTCCAAGAGTAATATTGAAATGACCATTCCGGAGGGTGTTCGGTAGAATGCGTAGATTCTGTGTACAGTACTACCCAGTTCTACGAAATGGCACTGACTAATATTCAATGAAATTTTATAGGCGTTTATCCTGAGACCAGAAAAAAATTCAGCATCTAATGGGAATACATGCCCTGTGAGTGCCAAGATTTAATTGAAATTAAGAGTGATGAGGTGCGGCATGTTCGGTATCCGAAAGATTCTCCAGTTTGTTCCAAACAGCTGACACGTATTTCACCACAGTGATGAAAACTGTTGATTCGTTTCATCAATGCATGGTTTATCGGGACATCAGCCGTGGCCTAATCCAAATATCCATCAGTACTGTACTGTGCAGTACTATCCTCTTCATCATTGCCTTGTGATTGAAGAACACTTCAAAGCTGATTGGTGGCTCGAGACGATTTTGAATGTGCACTTGGATTTGTTACTACAGTATTATGGTTAACATGGCTGCGGCCATGGAGTTCCAAGGAAGGTAATCCTAGTTTCAGTGTCGCGGAGTCCACGTGTGCGTGAGATTCATTTCGTTGTGGAAGAGTAGATGAATACTTCGAGTTCACTTCGGAGTTAAATAATCGCTGTTTTTTCTTTAGTTTTAGGAAGGTCCATAAGTTTCAGAATAGCTTACGACAAAAGTTGCGAAGTATTGAAGCCATATAACCGTGCACTCGTGATTCCTTCAAAATTGTTGACACGGAAAATTACTTAGCTGCTCAGCGTTTGGTGGCTCGAGACTTCGACGTGGGGGTCTTTTTATTTAAGCATCCTTCGGACTTTTGAGAAGAAGTGTGATCAATGCTATTTACAGTCGCAATCTCCATGATGGAACCGGCCGAAAAAAAAACCGGTTGGGTTTAGTTATCGATCGGCAGGGACTAGTATTTCTCGATTTGGCTCCCTTTCTATCAGATCTGCTATTCATATTAGCCTGTAGAATATCCGTAACTTGGTCTACGACTTGTAACGCCGACCTCGTTCACACCAATTGACTCCTGTGGATTACGTCCATGGCTAGGTTGGTGACTGTATTGTGTGTTAATCAAACGGTATTTGATCAGTTACCTGTTAATCTATTTGCTTCAAGGTTTGAGTGTGTGCTGCTTGAGAGTGTAATGACTCCATGCGTATTTCGTATCCTGTGTGTTTCCCTAATTCTGTTGACTAATGTAATCTCACCTCAAGCGCCTGCGAAACGGAAATGTGCCGACACTCTGTGTAAAGGTTTGTATTGGAAGCACGGTTTTTCTGATCGCAACTAATGCACTTGGATTCTTATATCCAGGCCCAATCGGGGAGTTCGAAACGACGAGTGCTTTTAGCGCTGCTGGAGGGGATCGTATAACGTTTCCAAAGGGAGTGACGGGGTCTTTCTACAGTATTGCCGATGATAGATTGGAAATAGAGGTTAGGAAATATAATGAAATTTCAACGGAATGGAAATCAGGATATTATGGTTGCAGATTGATGGTCGACGGGGATGGGCTTCTGAGAAACATCTCAGAGTGCTTCGTCGGCGAGTTAAAGATCTTGTGGATGTAGAAGGGACCACGAACACAGATTCCCTATCCAGTGAAGCACTCCGCAATGGAGGAACGGTATCTGTTGTTCCCCAAAACCCTGAAGTTTCATCTACGGTTGGACCGGAATTTTCCACTGGGACCCCTTCGAATCACGTTGATGAAAGCACTAGAGATGTTAACGTGGAACTGAAACCGACACCTTCTATGTCCATGGAACAAGAAACCACTGTTCCGTCTGATCTTGCACAGTCTTCCACTTCGCTTAACGAACAAGTCGACAAGTTCCTTTCTGGTAACTTCGCCTTGATGTTTATGATATACTGTTAATATTTGAATACATGAATGATCAGTATTAACCATATTTTCACATTTTTTGTGGGATAGCCTGTAATAAGCATTTCCTCTTAAGAATTAAAAAGGCACTTGTACACGAGAGGTGACCCACTCAAAATTTCATGCCATGAAAAACTGTTGTACAGCTGTTGGTCTGTTGGTGGTAAAATGTGTATGTGTAATTCCAAGCTTCTATTAAATATTTTCCTAGCTGATGACGAAGCTGAGGAGAGCGAACTGGATGACAACACGTTGATCGTGACTTCTTTAGAAGCAAGTAGCTTGGCCCCTAGTGCAGTTGTTGGCGATGCTTCGAGCTATCAGACTCCTTCCCATTCGTCGTTGCCTCCGGAAGGTCCATTAGCTGTACCCAACGGAATGGTGCGGCATGATGTTCGTTTCTCTGGAAAAAATTACAATTTATTTTTATTTTTAGGGTGCTCCCTCGGATCCTGCTGGTGTAAATTCGAAAGAGAATGGCGAGACAAGTAATCCACACGGAACCGGCGATCCCCTGAATGAGTTATCAGTTGTAAGTAATCGAATTAAAAATGTTAAGTTCATTTGAAACCTGTTCTGATCTTTTAATTTACCTCGCGAAAATTTATTGCTACGTGAATGATTTTAATTGCAGAATGGGTCACAGGATATCGATGTTATGTCAAATGATACATTGGTTGAAGCCGCGACGAGAGGAAATGAGATTGATTCCAGCGGTGACATTCCGGAAAAGCACGCGGATGAGACGAAGGAAAATGTAAGCAAATTAATGAGAACATTCCCAGGAGACTGTGTCAAGGCTGCCTATAAATGAGTTTACTCAATGAAATTCAGGATCCGGATTCATCTCCGAATGATACTGCTGAGAATTCTTCTGGGAACTATTCATCGCAGTATGTGCCAATAGATGACGTATCATCTGCTGCTTCGGATTTTGGTGGTCGTTCTAGAAGTGATTCTGTGGAATCAGTCAAAGAAGTAGAACTTGCCGATTCTGTAAGTTTCAAGAAATCCGATCCCAAGATCAGCGATTTCTTTTAAAGTGATGTGAATGGTTCCGTTGATGGCGATGATGTTTTGAACCCTAGAGGCTGTTTCTGAAGGGCTCATGTCTTTAATTGGATTCCATCGCAAGTCCTGGATTAAAAACGGTTATTTTTTAATTTTAGAATCATCCACCTGCTCAAAATACATCATCCAGCGAAAATGTAGGAAAACCTTCGCAGGAAGTTCCGGAAAACAGTAGAGAAGCCTCACCAATCGCTTCTGATGGGACTTCTCATATAGGCGAAGAAAAATTAGTTTTGGAAAATACTGTGCCAGAAGGTCTGGCTCATGTGAGTATAGCTAAAATTGTCTTCTTTTTTGTTGCACATTTTATGATGATAGTGGTTCTGCTGAACACGGTGATTTGTGAACCCTAGAGGCTGTTTCTGAAGCATTGATGCTACAGTATTTTATTTTTCCTCTCGATTTTCTTGATTGTGGGGAACTTTTTTGGTTTTAGGATCGTCAAAAAGCTGAGGATAAACCAACGAACGAAAAGGTTGAAGAACCTTTGCAGGATGATCCAGAAAGCCCTAGGGAAGCTGGCTCTCTGACTCCTGCAGGAAATCCGTCTTTTGGGAATACAGTTGAAGGCAACGAAAATATCGGAAAAGAAGGCTTGCCTCCTGTAAGTGTAGTAGAGGATTAATTGTTTTTTGAGTGATGATGTGATCGGTTCTGTTGAATTTCGTGATGTACTGAACCCTAGAGGCTGTTTCTGAATCATTAATGCAAATGGTTATATTTTCTCGATGTTCTGGATTGTGCAAAATTAGTTTTTTCATGCAGGATCCTCAACAAGCTCAAGATGCACCATCCAGCGAAAATGTCGAGGAACATTCGCACGATGTTCCGGAAAATCTTAGCGGGGCTGGCTCTCGAACACCCTCAGCGGATGTACCTGAGATCAAGGCAGCCGAACCCAAAGAAAAAATTGTGTCCGAAGATCCCAATAAAGGAGGTGTGGTTCCTGTAAGTTGAGCAAAAAGTCGAATTTCATTACGTTTTGAATGATGTGATCGGTTCCATAGATTAATGTGATATGGCGAACCCTAGAGGCTGTTTCTGAGAAATGTATTAGAAGAACGACGTTCTTGTAATTTGAGTTTGCCAATCCAGCTCTTTAAAAGGAAAAATAATAATTTCAGGATGAAGCTGCATCATCAAGTGAAGTCGGGGTGAACTCGACTGAACATGCGGAAGGGACATCTGGAATTACTGCAGGAGCGCCTCATGAAGCTGCCTCTGACGAAGTGACGAGTGATGCGTCACGTTCTGAAGTCCATTTTGATTCTGTTGATGAATCCGTGTATGTGAGTGGATAAAATCAGTTTTCAGTTACAAATTCCTTCAGGTGTCAGTGACGGCGAATTAAAATAATATGAAACCTAATCGCTTTTATTGTGATGTCAAACTCCTCTTCACTCATTTTTGAATTAGCCCGTGGAAACGGAGAGGAAACCATCAGCACTTGCAACCGAAAATCTTGATGTGTCCAAAATTCACACGGAGCTTTCGAGTGACGATGGGTTACCCACCATTGAAGCACAGTCTCAACCTCAAAGTGGAACATTTCACTCCGTGAGTAGGTTCTAAGTTACTGGTATATTAACTGTGCAATTGATGCAGGTAATGCAATTCAGTCCTTCGAGCCTGAGAAACATTGACCTATCTAACTCGTATGTTAATAGGCGTACTTCTTTTTTCTTTTTTTGAACGATTTCTCGAAAATTACATGCGGAGATGTAAGCAACGGCATTATTTTTCTCTTCCAAAATACACCAGCCCGACGCAGGCAAGCTAAATGGGTCGGTTGAGGCTGGAATGCCACGTCTTGAAAACAATGAATATAATTTAGCCGACGCACGAACACATTCTAATGAGGATGATAAGGAGCATTTCGAAGAGAGGGAAACTGATCTGACTGGAAGTCAAGAACAGCGACCCGTTCGAGGCTTCTTGTACTCAACGCGGAGCCCGTTAGAGGCCCGAGAAGACGTTTCAGTCGAGCAAAATATCGCAAAACATATTTCGACTGAAAGTCTGGGAGACATTCTTGATACTCCTTCGATTTCCGAAGTACCGCATCATAAGTTTGACGTGGAACATGAAGACAGCGAAGTACCTCGCGAACCTCCGCCGCAAACCGAGGGTTTGCTTGCTGAAATTTTGGACTCTCTCAAAGAAGGTTGTTGATAGACTCGTGACTTTCGCTGGATTACTCTACTGATTTCATGATTCTGCAGTTTACGAGAATTTTATGGACGCCACGTTGCCTGCGCTAGAATTCGTGAGGGTCATATTGGAACCGCTTTGGCCGCACATCTATTCAGTTGTAAGTTTTCTTCGATTGTTGAAATAAGCTTTGGTCGAAAGTTAATTGCTTTGCTTGCAGATTCCCGTGGAGTACATGAATCATGCCACTGCTATGGGATTTCTTGTTTGTCTGTATGCGATTGCCACAAGTTTTATTTACTTCGTCGTCAAGGTGTGATTGATACAAGAAATGTTTGCCGAATAGAATTATGAAATAATTTCGGTGTACGTTCTAGTTTCTGTTCAGGAACAAGAAAGTAGAACAAGAGCTGATCATTACGGCCAATGGTGTGGCGAGTCTCGTGTCGCTTCAAAATACTTTGAAAGAGGAAAATTTGGATCTCTCACAGCAGGTACAAAGAGGTGTGTAAGTGTTAGAATTTCTGAGCTTAACATTTAGTACTGGTTCGTAGTTGGACAAAGAGCGTCACTTGCATATTCTTTCCGGGTCGAGGATCCACGAATTGGAGAGCAAATTGGACACAACTAAAGTAAGCTCTGTTTTTCTTTTTTTAATCGAAAGAAGTAGTATCAAGTCTTTCTCCTATCAGAAAAGCTTGCGAGAGCTGGAAGTAGCGTTGAAAGAAGAAGTTGCCGAAAAAGATGTCCTTGCTAAGGAGCTGATGGAAACTGCGGAATCATTAGAATCCACACAAGCGTTACTGAATGATTCATTGCTGGTGCGACAAGGGAAATTTTCGGAGGATGATGATGCTCTTCAAGTGCAATTTGACACGCTGGAGAGAATGCTTAATGATCAAACATTGAAAGTTGCATCTTTAAAAGCTGATTTGGATTTCGTGCGTGAAGAGGTGTGTTCATTCTTCATGTGTTCATAGGGCGTTCCACAAGTATCCGACTTCGAAATTTTTAATGTTTCTTTGATAGAATGTGAAGCTGAAGGAGCAATATTTTGACGCTGAAAGGATTGCCGTTGATAGAACTGAGGTGATTTTACCGAATTTCGTATTTAATGGCGACTTATAATAAACTTACATATTTATTTTAAACGTTTGAATAGGAATTGAATGAATTGAAGCAAATGCATGAAAGCTTATCGAGGAAATCGCAGGAACGAGAAGAAAACATTGAAGCATTGAAACTTGCGCTTGGCTTCAATGAATCGGCGGAAGCTGGAGAAAATCCAATACTTTCCTCTTTTCGTGCAATTCTCAACGGTGGTAAATATTGTATTAATGATGAGCTTGATGTCCTGTGTGAGACGATTCTTAATTTTTGGAGATGGCGACGTCGGGGGCGAAATGGGTCATCTCTTCGACGTTGGAAGAGCGAGGCGACAAATCCGAGAATTGGAGAAAGAAAATGAAGAGCTGCAAGTTAAATTAACAGAGCTTGACGTTCTAAGAGGTTGGACATTTTTCAATACTGACGTGAACAATTATGGTTAACTTTCTTCCTTCTGCAGAACTTCTTGTGACCAAGGACTCTGAACTCGAACGGTTGAGTGAAAAAGAAAAAGAGCTTCAATTTCTCGAAGTATTTTATCGTAAGAAGGAAGAAGAATTGGTTACGTATGTTTCATGTGTGATTTTTAGTGAATCGGCCTTTCTCTAATTAGCCATCTTTGCCTCTGTAGTGAGATCAGTCGACTCAAGCAGAAAGAAGAGCGATTCATGTCGCACGAGAAAGAAGGGAAGACTATGGGCGACTATATTCACACGCTTGAGTACGTAATCCTACATTCTTTCTGAGGAATACAGTATTTTGTGACTCCTGCTCTGATACATCTAGGGAAAAGCTCAAACTCATTGAATCCGATAAGCAAAACATCGACGTTCGTGGAAAAGAAAAATTGATCGAACTGGAAAAGGAATTATGTGATTGCAAGGTGGGTTGTTATTCGTAGCTTGGAATTCAAATTTTGTCAATTTTTTTCTTTTCATAGTCTTGGATTTCGTATAATGGTCTTAAATCGTGTAAATCTTTTTCCCAAACGCAGTTCCGTTTACAACAGTCGCAGCGTCGTTTGGACGGTGTGATAACCGAGAATAATGATCTTCGAAAAAGGTGGGACATTTTCTCCAAATTCATGGCGATTGTTACATGTTTCATGGCGTGATTATTCTTTTCACAGAGCGGGATTATTTCAGCTGAATTTGAAGTCCAGTGAGTACTCAGCTTTTTTTACTAATGAAAGTTCTTCAAGTTTCACGCATTTTCGGAGCGATTACAATTTTTTTTTATTTTCAATGCCTTTTGAATTTTTGACAGCAATCTCACAAAAAAATTAGACGGTTCAGCAAAGGGTGTCAACTCTCAAGTTTTTGATGAATGCTGTCGAATAATTTTCGAAGGTCCGTCTGGAAGTCTAAATGATGGTGAAGGGGGCGTCAGCCTGCCATTTGCACCAGATTTAGTACCACCCATGCTACCCCCGGGAATGATGCCTCCACCGCCGCATCTGCGGAACATGATGATGCGTCCCCCTCTGCCGCCACCGCTGGGTGCGCCACCCTTGTCAGACCGACTGCCGCCGTTGGGTGATGGAGGAAGACCAGATATCCCAGGACTTTCGGGTCCCTTTTCTATGTCGCAGCGGCCTCCGTTCTTCATGGGACCACCGGTAGGGCGTCCGCTGTCGCCACCTCGCAGTACCGAGAGTGGAAGACGATCACGAAATCGTTCACCGTCGCCGGGAAAATTATCCGACCTGTCGGCGCCACCACGAGGATTCTACCGTGCATCGTACGCTCGTTACTGTAGTTCTGATAGACGTGGGAATTTTCTTGGCTTCTGGAATCACACGGAGTATTTCTCTGCTTTTTAGAATGAGGAGACGCTCAAGGTCGATTTCGCCGAACAGTCGTGGATCCATGCGATCTCCGCCCTACCGACCAAAGATGGCTTCAATGGAATATCCGGATGATCGTTCCATAGGATCGACCGGTGGTAACCGTCCTCCGCCGCCACCTCACGCGAGGCGACTGGATCCGCGGGGTGGTCGTGGTGGACGATTTTCGGAGAGCCCTTCGCCACCTCCGTCTCCGGGTTACGGAGATCAGCCCCCACCTGCCCTGCGTGGTCGGGGGCGCCGTGAAGGTGTGTTTATACGTGGAACCGTAATGGCATCGGATATTGACCGCTTTAATCGTTCAAGCGGTAATGTTTAGGATTCGCGCCTCTCGGTCCGATCAGCGTCCAGTGTAGCTTTTAAATTCAAATTGTTGCATTTTTGTTGCTGAAACATTTTTGATGGAAAACCCTATTCTTTTCTGCTGTCCTTTCGGTTGGTATGCAAGACATGATTTACTAAACCTTTCTCTTCTACCTCTGACGACATGAAGTCATTTTGAAAATTCCCTGCCTTGGGAACGCAGCTTGACTCTGTTTCTACTGTCGTCGTTGACTTTTCCGTATGATATTACTCGAAGGTGTTCCGTTGCCGACTTTTTGTTCAAATTTCCAGTTCTTCGTGATGCATTTTAAAGAATTTTTATTGCATATTTTTGTCAAATTTCTGTGCGCACTTGACAGATTAATTTGTTCTTCCTATAGGCGACAAAGGACCCTCAATGCCACCGCCCTCCGGCGAAGATCGGCGTCGAATGGAACGTAGTCCTGCCTACGTGTAACTTGAATTATCGGGATCCGGATCATCGAAGAAAGTTGGCCGCGTGATAGCTCTGTTCAGCCTACCGAAGTTGCGAAGATCCTGCCATTTTAGGTTTATGATGTCCGAAGCTCTTGAGGAATTATTCCCGAAAATTTGGAAATAAATATTGCACTTCTTTTCTTCGTATTCTGGGATTATATATTGTTGCAATACAGTAATTCAACATGTAGAAGTGACTTTTCTCTGAGTGGAATTGCGGAACGCAGCTGCACGTTCCAATTGTGCTGATGATGTTACTGTCATGATCGCAAATTTTTCATGATTGAGGTTGAGCTGTTGCAATGGCGCATATATTTTTCTCTGGACGTCCTGTTTTTGTTTATATCACATCATTGCATAACCGGTTCCAAGTTACTTTACTTGAAAATCCTATTTTGGATGTGAAGGAAATATTGGGAACTCTTCGGGGCGGGGTTGTTTCTGATGATGTGTATTATTATTTGCGTTATTGCAAGTTGCGTTAATTGATTTAAATCGGTTCGAATTTATTTTTAGATTTGCGTGAGGCTTGAAGCGGGAAACCGCCCTTGTTGAATGTCTGCGCGAGTTGTCGTATTCTTTTTGGGTGCTGCAATCGGTGCTGTTATCGCCGCAATTACGACATATAGAGAGACTAAGCGCCGCCAAGCGCAAGATTTGAGACCTGGTAAGGCAACGATCCTAGTTTTTAATAGATATTTGAATCACTTCGATTTTTCCTTACGTTGGAGAGCTTCATTGAATGAAAATAAATAATTTTCAATGAAAGACATATTCTATTCGGATTGTGTTGCCGAATGCCCTGTGGAATCTTTCGTGTATCTCAAGATTCTTTAGTACTGTACGTTACCTGGTTGTCTGTAAAATTTTAATAGTTACTCTTAAGATATTGTCCATTAAGTCTATTTTCTGGCATTGTAAGTTCAGATTATAATTTTCGAAATTTAGTTCTGATGGAACAGTTGACCGATGCCTGCAATGTGATTTGTGTTGATCCGTTTAGGTCCCGATGGTCCACCGCCAGACTTTCCGGACCTGGATGCTAAATTAAAAGACATAGACGCCCGAGAAACCGAACTGAGACGCCGACAGACGCCACAAGACGACCCCGCCAAGAAAGCTAGCGATCCAACCTGTGACGTCTGCGAATCGATGGAGGCCAAATTCGGTTTAAGCTGTGGCCATTGTCGTCTTTGCCCGAAGTGCGTGTCGGATTTGAAACGTTGTCCGAAGTGTTTGGGTCCCGTGGAGTGGCCGGTTGATTGCGTCGAGTGATCGCCTGTGTTCTTCTTGACCAGGCTGACAGTTGACGTTGAGTTCTGCGAGGAGCTCGTTCGGTCATATTGTATTTGTCGCGGAGAAATTAAAAAAATTGTATGGATGTATTGAAAACATGTGTGACTGATATCCCGTTTAAAATTGATTGACGCAAAGTTTCGAATTCCTTTTTTGAATTTAGTTGCATTACATTTAAGATGAAGATCGTGCGTGATTTTATTTTTTTGGCGATCTAAAAGTTAAATTTCGGTGATAATCTGACAATAAATTGTTGATCGTATTGTTCAGTTGAATTTTAGGTCTCGTGACAAACTAGTATTTTGCGATTAATATCCGATTATAATGGTGCATTATTTCAACAGGTAGATTCCTTTGCTATCATGAACCCCGAAGGAATTCTGTGGCGTGTATTGGACTTCAGGATAGATGTATGGCCTCGGACACGTAATTTTAATTGACATGAAAAACATTCATGCTGGTTGATTCGTCAGGTCGATTTCAACAAGTGGTAATTCGCGAGCGGTCGCGAGATGAGATCGTGAGCGATCCAGTAATCAATCGGCTAGCTAGTGTGACGTGTTGAGCATGGCTTCGGTGAGCACGCTGACGGTCAGCGTGTGCGTGGAGAGTAGACTTGCGGACATGCTCGTCGTTTCATACAGAGATGGCACTTCACTGTACCGAGGCGTGCTAATGAACACCACACGACAGTGAGTAGTGTTGCCATATGTGTTCGTGGAATTCGTTCGTAGTCTCGTGGAGGTAACTCTTCGCAAACTTCGATGATTGATCTATATGAGGCGAATGTCTTGTAAACTGCCTGACTTTCACGAATTCCAAGACGCTTATTTCCTCTCCCGATGTCCAATTTTACCTTCTTTATGTACAGTACGGTATCGATGTCCATAAATGGAATTCCCCTCAGGTGAAGGATATTCGCTCTTCAGATGCTGAAAGTTTTGAAGGAATTGTATCAACATTGTGTATTTCTTCGATGTCTCACTTCGTGGCGTTGCATTTTCAATAATATATTTCAAGTTATTAATTAAAGGGACTTAGAAAAATTACCCAGAATCTCCTAATGATCATAAAAAGATTGAGTCAGTATTTTGAGGCACTCTATTAAGACGACTAGTACGCACGAATGGAGGTTTGTGATTCTATGGTAGCTGGCTTTTCTCGAATAAAGCGCGCACCCCAGTTTTTTAAATTTTTTTCTGGTGGTAAAATTGTCGAAACATTTATCCCCGCGTATGACCCGCACCCAAGTTCTTGTGTTTTGAAAATTGGAAAAATCGTGAAAACGTGAGGCTTTTGTGTGGATCTATCTTTTCTTCTGCATTAATTTTGTGTCTTTCCCGTTATTTACCAACTACTATAACATTTAAACTGCGCTCATATTTCATGACTTCCTCAATTAGGGGAATCTTTTTTATTTTTATTTTCTCCCACTAGAGTCCCAGTAACTGAAATGGTTATTTCTTTGACCATTATTTCTCATGGAAAAGGAAACTTGGCGTCATGCATTTCCTCTTCATTTTTTCATTTATTACCATGACTCGCACTGTTTTCCCAATTTTTCTCTCCATAAATTTATACCCGAGTACCACACGCACCCTACTTTTTTGCCTAAATTTCTGGGAAAAAATGCGCGTAGTACTCGTGTAAATACGGTACATGATCGAGAAAAAAATATTTATATTTGAACTTCCGAGCTGCAGATACCCGCTGATGGGTCTCGAAAATTCCCTTGATTATCCGTCGACTAATTCATCGTTCCTATTTCCTAGAAAAGTCGTTTCTCTTATCTGGTCAATTACCATAGTTCTGTGTTCAATTTGAAACGGTTTGATCATATGGTATTAACGATTGTATTCAAGCTCATCGTCGACTCAATATTTTTAGAAATATTCCATGCGGAGTGTACCCTTCAAAGACTGCCGACGAAGAAGCTGACAAACTGTCGCTCGTCTCCCAGCGCATGACGTATTTTTGGTCAAAGCCCGAAGGAGCCGAAAGCAAGCCGAATTTGCGTCGCACAATCATTCCACCGGCCAAGTTCCGTGAAGCTCGGTCGTCCCGTCTGAACGTTCGCCTAAGACCTCGGAATGTGCTTTGCTCCAAATGCAGAGCCGTGTGCAATGAACGTTCGGAATACATCGGGGATCGTAAGATGAAGTCGCGCCCGCGATCCCCGGCTGCGAGTTTGAAACCCTGCTCCGTCGATCTGTCCGGCGATAAAGTGAAACTAGATGCCGCCATGAAACTCACTCGCTTGGAGGACTTGAATCAAAATGGAAATCGTTATTTCGAAGACGCCGGATTGGCTGCTGATTTGCCTGCCCCCGTTTTGAAAATATCTCTTGGACCGAACGGGAGTGGTACAGTTGTAAATTTACACGCGACCAGGAAGTCGAAGCGCGAAAAGAAATCAAAGCGACATTGGGACGAAGATCTTTTGTATCCCGATGAAAAGAACCCGAAGAAGCGGAAGAAAAAACGAGGGAAAAGTTCTCGCGATTCTGATTCTGTTCAGCATATTGGAATCGATCTGGACCCAGCAGAGAATGAGGAATCCTCCAGTGATGAGCCCCGATCGTCTGAGCTTCGATTCTTGCTGCGGGAAGAGGTTGGACCGTGTCAAGAATTGGTTTTTGTTCCCCAAGTCAACGTGGCTTCTTGAGGTCTTGCTTTGCTGTATAGGCTTTGAAAATTGAATGCTAGAGTTCCGAACGGAAGAAAACCTCGTCAATATTTGAAACCGTGAAAAATTCGACGGAGTTATCCCAAGTTTTTGTCTTTTTTTTTTTAACCACTGTACGGGATGAAAATTCACATTTTGTGGCCCGAAATTCTTGGTAGCACTTGTGACTGAGACAGTACAATGATGTTACAGTCAAGGTTTCGGAAAAAGCAGATACCTCAAGCCGGTGGGCTTCGCTGGGGAGGAAATTGTGGAAGGGTTCAATACTCGTGTACCGGTATCTTTCATCTAACCGCAGCTTGAACTCTGAAACGTTCATTTCAGACCGAACAGTGACATCAGAGAAGTCTTCTTGAGAGAGTCGTATTTACCCTTCAGAAGCGACCTGCTGCTAAGGTTTGCAGCCGTGTTCCTGCTCACCGATTAATGATGTTCTCTGGAATTCTCTCTGTGACCATGTAGAATCAATCGTGCAATAACACTTATTTTAGAATCTGATGCCTCTGTCTTGGTCGGAAAAGCCTATAATGCTCGTAAACCGGTATCGTTAATCTGATCAATCCGCCGAGGGTAGCAGCAACATTTCCCCAGTTTTAAAGCCAGATCTGTGCTTTCTCTTTCTTTTCTTGCAACGTGTACCAACACAGTAGATGACCGTTTGTGCCAACATTTTTCTTTCATAAACAGATTATGCTGGTCAAGTTGCGCTTCTCAGCTTACATTTCCTATCTTCTTTTCATGAAAAAATATATACCGTAGTTCGTGATAGATGAAGTGCTCCGAAGACGTACTTTTCCTTTTCAGACACAGACATATTCGGGAAGGAGAAGCGCATCGAAAGAATTGGAAAATTCTTGAAATTTAGTACCCTTGGTGGACTATTATGCTGAGCAAATGTATGAAAAAGTAACTGATGAAATTAACCTTGACTTTTCGGTGCTTCTTTGTAAATTCGTGTGGAACATTTTTTTGTAGTGAATTTCGTGAATCATGAGCAGTATCCAAGGGAGATGGGGAACCTTCTCGAAGCCAAATTGGGTCGTCTGATTTGACTTGTAATTAGATTTTTTTGTGCGATGCATTCAGAATAGTTGCCCCTCGTAGATGTTTTTGGCCCATAAGTGTCAGTTTTGCGACGACATGCTTTAAATGTGGGATTCTGTGTCGTAAACGCTTTTTACAGCAAGTTTTCACTTGCTACCGTACTCCATGTGTCCACTTTTCGAAAAAGACGGAATTGGTTCGGACGGCCTTTTCATTGATGATTCTCGCTGTGTATGTCGATCCCTTGATGTTCCCAACTTCGCTCATTTTGATGATGTGATATTTTGGTTTCTAAGATAGCTCTTAAAGATTTCGATGCTATGATACGATCGAATATTCTTCGATTAAGATGCGGGAGCGGCGTTGAACGCTTGTGTTGTTCGAATTGAGAGCGTTGAACGGACCGCGTCTGTAGTTGAAGAAGCGTTGTTCAGGGACGTTGGCATTTGTGAGAGGGAACTTTGGGATATTATGTTGAGCGGGCTCCATTTTCCTGAGTTTTATATGCGGAACTAGGAAATATTCTGAATTGTTCATGACGAATTCGTAAATCATGTTGTGTAAGAGATACAAGGTGTCAGATCCGGTGAAGGCGACCGACTTGGCGAAGTGGTTACGTTGCTCTGTTTTATCATTAATTTTTTTGGTAAGTTTAGCTGTATTCTATGTAACCCTTAAATTTTTTCCCTACAGGTTTTGAATCCATGACTATCGAAAGGCCTTCGGTAATAAAATGCTTTCAATTTTGTGAAGCATGGATGACTTCGATATATACGAGAATATTATAACGCCCGGTGAAAATGAATCGCAGCTCATTGCTCGAGAGCAGGTACGTAATGATGAACGATGTGGTACTATTCATTACTGTTTTGATTGGATATTTTCGACCCGCAGTTCGAGCAAGTGTGTGCGGAGAGGGATTTAGCCAAGCAAGAAACCGAGAAATGGAAGCAAGAATGCGAAAATTTTTCCAGAAACATCAAGTCTCTGCTGACGACTGCGAGAGAAGAATCCCGGCGAAAAGATGCCTTACTTCGTGACCTTCAGAATAAGTTCGTTTTCGTGATTTTTGACGAACATTTCTTTTCTTCATATGTGTCATATTTAATTGCCGAAGCACTTTCAGTGTTTTATGGTTCTAATTGCGCGAGGCGTGATGAAAAAATGTGGCAGGCCTTGCTGAAAAGTGTCCGCCTGGGACAGAGCTGCGAATTTTTTGCGTTATGCTAGTCACCAGAAAGATTTGTCGTCATGTGCCGCAAATTTTAAAGTTGCTGGTGCTGTCAGTCCGTTGTTAGCCGCTGTTCAATGAATCAAGAAAAACACATCTTTGGTGCAGTCCGTCACGATACTCACAACCGACTGACAATATCAAGCATGTTGAAGCTTTTGACAAACTGAAAAAAGCTTTAGATTCCAGAGCTCAGAAGCAATTTTCATTTTGGTTGGCCTAGTAACGTTCGCCGAACCTTCTTGATCATCCCTCGAATTGTGTACGACCGCCGAGTTTTCGGTGATTGGAAAAAGTCTGTGCAAAAATTAACCCTAAAGTTTTCCATCCAGATACGATACGCTCTTGTTCCGTCGTGGATTTGGACCTCCCAGCCTACATACTGAAGTGCGTCGAAACTGCGAGCCTGGAAGTAGTACGCAAAGTCATGCTGAGGTCAAAAGGCAGTATGCAGACACGAGAAGAGAAACGGTCAACGAATTTGACGCAGTCAAAATTTCGCACCGTCCTTCATTGCCTTCATTGCCAGAGAAACAATCTTCCGTGGATATTATTAAGCAGGAAGAAAAGGAAACGAGCGAATCTCCAGAAAACCACGTATTGACAACAGAAGGGTCTCCGTGTACAAAAAATGTGACCCCGAACCGTGAACGGAAACCGAAAGTATCTACCGCGGACCGATTGTCAAGCAGCGTTTGTAAAAATGAACTCACTCCGACAATGCTTCGAGAAACGAGTGTCAGGTCAAACGAGATTCAAAATGCGGCTACTCCAACCTGTAAGAAGAAGGAGGATACGATTGTAAATGCGATAACTCCTCGCGATCTCACTAGAACCGTGTATGAAAACGCATCTCCTGTGAATCCTCCGTGCTCCTCTTCTGCACTGAGGAATCAAGCCATCCTCGAAAAGTTAAATTCTGCCTCCAAGCGTATGGTGAACGTTCGGAAAGAACGCGCCGAACTCAATACGAGTACGTCGTTCCCTCTCGATGAAATTCTTTCTAACCAAGAAAAGCTCATTTCTACGAGCTCTTCCAAACGCAAAAGCGCAATAACACAGAACGATTCATGGGATACAGTGGACAATGTCGGCAATCTTGGAACTGCCTTGGAGATTGAAATGAGTGAGGGTGAAATCGAGCGTGAATCGTGCGATTCATCACCAGAAATACCCAAAAAATGCAGAATGACTACGGATTCCCACAAGCGGTTGAGGAGTACCCGTGAAGACCGCCGTGCAAATTTTCAGCTTCGAGATGCGAGGGAAACCAGCCCCAACGATGAGAGATTGGAGAAAAATAAAAGTTTTCTGAATGATCGTTCCAAACCTGTATTCGGTCATCCAAGAAATCGACATTTCAAGGATAATAAGGATCCTTACCGGAAAATTGATTGCAGGAGACAAAGTCGCAATCAGTATCGTCCGAATGTGCTTCACGAAGAGTTTCGTCATCCTTCGTCCGATCAATCGGAGCTGCCGAGCGTGCATGCGCGAAAAAGTCGAGCAGCGAAGCAAGAAAATCATTCGAAGATGCCGCAAACCGAATCTCGACCACAATTAAAGATTTCCCATCAGCATGCCCTACGAAGCCGAGAAAAAAAACCAAACAATGATTTGAAAATTTCGCCCCGTATTCAAGCTTCGAAATGCGAGCATGAGACAGAACAAACTTCGGGTATGAAGAGCGAGATAAAAAAATCCCCGAAAAAGCGACGACGACAAGAACCCCGGTCTCGAGGAGTTGCTAGGCGTTCCCGGTCCAAAGTCCAGAATGTAACCGGGGAATTTTCAGACACAGACAGCCTTTTTGAAGTTCATCCTTCGTTGCTCGAGCCGCCGTCCCCGTTCCCGCTTGATAAACGCGCTTCATTGCCGGAAGCCTCCTGCAGCATCGGAAGTCGTCGTTCAGTGTCTCCCGAAGCTTGTCCAATTCCTGACGTTAATGAAGTAAAATTGAGTACGCGGAAATCTGCTGATGCGAAGTCGTGTTCACTAAGTTCACCTGTGCAGGACGAGTTTGCTGCTCGTGAAAATATTCCGCCCAAATCAGATGTATCGAATTCTTCGCTTCGAACCTCATTTGAAGGTTCTCTTCAGGCTAATGCCGCAACAGGAATCGAGAAGTCCGTTTCTGATACCGAAAAGCGCGTGTCTGTGCAAGATTCCGTTCGACAAACTCTTGCACCTGTCGTGAATGATTCTAAACTTACTGAAAATTCCATATGCGCGATTTCGTCTGAAGAGTCTGGGAAAGATCTCTCCGAAAGGGCTTTTAAAAAAGGTCGTGGTGGTCTTGAGAACGTCAGTGAAAGAGGACGGGTTCCGGTCATTCGCCCTGAACCTTTCGGAAGTGATCGACAACTTCTGGATACTCAAGATAAAACTTCCGAAGTGAGAGTACACGTTCGAGAAAGTATCCCTGAAATTAGTTTAGGCGTTTCTCAGAAGGTTGCTAAATTGTCAGCGAATGTTGAGGATCCCCGGCAAGATATCCTGAACACTACATCTCACGTTGACAAAAACGATTCGTCGAGTAGTTTACGTACTCTCCGCGTGGTTAAAAACGGCGAAGATGCTTCTTTCGCGTTTTCGGCGGAAGTTGAGGTGGGAAAACGGAAGAGCAGCGAACGAACAATTACAGGATCTAAGCGAAAGGAAACGACATCTGCCGCGCAGAAGGACGGGAACGTTTCATGTGCCAAAAATTTGTTCTGTTCTTCTACGACAACGAAGGACATTTTGAACAAGTCTAGCGGCTCAAAGTCGACGGAGAGACATAAGTCTTCCGACCTGAATTCTGGTGAGGTTGGAATTGGTATCACAGCCATGACGATGGGAGACTCTGCTCCGATTTCTGCGCCAGTCCGCGTTGATATCAACAAAGCCGTGGATAGGAGCACAGAGAAACCGCAAGAAGGATTGTCCGGAAGTCGGCGATCCCGGAAACGGTCACGCAGAAGTTTAAATCTTTCTTCTTCTGCAGTGATGGTTATCGGCATTTCTAGCGACGAACCTTGTGTGTAGGGTTACACTTGCTTCGGATCGTGTTAATATATTTTATAATCTTGTTTATTCGCCGCAGTGGTTTCCTCCCTAATTTACCTTCAGTTTTCCATTCTGATGTGCTTTTATTTTCTGGAAGTGCAGGTACTGCATGTGAGAATGAAAACGCGAATCTCAGTGTCCGCATTGCTTCTATTCTTGGTCGTTCGAAAAACTGCGGCAGCAACGCTGTTCATGTCTTCGAACTCTCCAACTGTGAAAGGTTCACAATGCGGATTTTCTGCGAAGATCGATGATCCGAAGCATTCCGATGGACAAGCATACACTTACAGTTGGTCCGATGATTATCGTGAAAGTCACGTAAGTTAAAACAACCATGCAATGAACTTCTCGTAGTATTGGGGAATCACCGGTAAATTGAGTGTGAACCTGAATTATGGCGCATGCCTTTCAGCCAATCGTGCGCGACAGTTCCCAAAATAGCAATTTTGCGAACTATTTTCGTAATGTCAGACAGTGATGCGGTTGGGTAACGTTAGGGTTGTCATGTCCCAGCTTTTTATCCCCGCGCATGTGAAATTAATTCATTCCTCATTCCATGGATTGTATGACAGAAAATAATTTGATTTTGGTGCCAAAACATGCCCAGTACAACCACCATCATCCGTGCTTCGAGTCGTTCCAAAAATCGTGTAATGCGTCACAAACAATTCTGCTTGCTGCTAGTATTCGCCCAAACGACACAATGGCCTCAAATGCTGTTTATTTTTGATACTGTAGTAAGTGTACTTGATTGTTTTTATTTTGCGTATTGTGCTAACCTCAAGTTTTCGTGGGATACATTTTTTCCTAGTTCTAAATTATCCGTGATTTTCGATTACCCTGGAAGTTGGCGATCATTAGCCCGTTTCACTCTCCTGTAGTTGATATTTCTCTAGCGTCGTTCTATTAGTGGTGTTCGCGTTGTTCGAATTTGTTTTATTGTTATGCCGTTTATTTAAAGTTTTGTAGAACCTCGTGTTTCTCACGCAAAATATCCTGAATTGCCGTTTTTGTGTCGCTGTCGAATGTCCTGACGCGATCGTATGACGTGTGACTGACGAGCTAATATCCGTGCTTTTTTGCTTATGTGTGCCATTCATGCTGAATATTTTCTACAGAGTTTGGTTGAAACGAAAACCGATTTGTCATCGTCGGTGACTTTCGATTATCAGAAACCGGGCGTCTACAAAATGTTTCTGAAGGTGACGACGACGACTTTCAAAATTTTCCCCGTCGAAATTGCCAGTGGAAGCATCGAATTTCAAGTAACTGAGTATCTGAATGGTCGTGTGGTGGCAATTCAAAATGGCACGGAGCTGACGAAGGATTCTGTGTCAAACTTGTATCTCGGGTCAAGCAAAGTGCCGACAACTTTCGTTGTGCAGCTGCACGATCCGTACGACTTGATTGGGAAAGCCAGTATGACATCCTTTCTTTGGGATGTGAATGACGTCGTGCAAAACACGACCGTCAATGGAAACTATACTCAAAATTTGACGTCTATCGGGCAAGTGAAATTGAGAGTGACTGTAACGGCGTATTTCAACCAGCCCACAACTACGACATCTACAACCACTTCTACAACGACCATCGCAACAACAACTGCTCCAACAACTACCACACCTAAAACCGATACCAATGCAACTACTGTCCCTCCAAAAAATTTCACATCAGCTTTGGCAGCGAGAAGCAAACGCGGGATTTTGCAGTCCGTCGAATCCTTGCTGGTACCATCGAAACAACGCGCAGAATTTGACGACAGCAGGCCATTTTTTCTTCAAGGAGTTTTCGAAACGGATGTGGATATCTCTGATCCGATTGATGCCCTCAACATCACTGGAAATACCTGGTTGCCGAGAGGTACTTTGCTAAGATTGAATGTGTCGTGCGCGGGTACGGGACCATGGAAACGATGCTGGTTGCCGAAAACAGGCAGCTACAACGTGACAAACAAGGAAACCTGTTTGATGCCCGTAACACAGTACGTGTGCGACTTTGGCGTTGTGCATTACTTTCCCACGCATGGGGTTTATACGATGGTGCTTGTAATGGAGAATTCTGTGAGCAAGATAGTCAAGGCTATTGCCGTCAACGTCTATGATGGTTAGTATCATTTTGCGCGAATTCCCGCTTGAATTACGTCTCTTTTTTTGTTCGGAATTTTAAATTCGACAGTCCATTTCAGCAAATTTTGTGAGAAATTTAGTCTGAAGCACAACTTTTCGTTGAATTTTCAATAGTACTATACTTGATGAAAAAAGCTTATGTACAAGAAACATGATGTTCAAAAAAAAATTTTCGAAACCTCAAATCTTCGCTTTTTTCACCCAAAGTCGCTCCGTGAAATTTCCGGCAGTTGTCGCATGAATCTAAAAAAAGTATATTTTCGGTTTAATGATAACAGCAACTTGATGTAAAAACCGGAACTGACGCAACGAAGCTCAACTTCGAAGAGTTCGACGTGATTCGCACCACATCTATGTAATGACGAAGGACAGAATGGATTTGAGGACATAGAGCATGAAGTTGGAACGAACCAACCTTTAACATTTGTTGCTAATCTTTCCACGCATACTTCTGAGTCTGTGGATTCAATTTTTAATTGACATGGTTTTGTTGCGAATATTGACCGTTTAACCTTTAATCTTCGTGACTGTGTCCAATCAGTTGAATCGACGATACTTTTCTAGCTACTGTTTGTTTCATTCTCTTCGAATTGTTCCTGACGACCAAGTTTTAAAATGTTCGATTTTTATTTTTTGCAGTTGCGAGTGAGCCTCAGCTGTCGACAATCATAGTCCCGGTGCTTTGCAGCGTTTTGGCGATGGTATTCGTTATTTTCGGGGTGGCCTACTACTTCCAGAACAGAAGTCAGTTTCTCGTAGAAACTGCGGACTTTGATTTCCAGTCAGATGGTACGAACGACGACGAAGTAGTACCCAGTACCTTCTGGGAGCGAGTTTGTGGTGAATTCAAGGCATTGTATCTCAGCCCACCGGATGAAGATATGATACGGCCGTCCACCTTTGGGCGCCGCGGCCGGAACCCGGTGAGTGACTACGGAAGTTTGGCAACCTGAGAAATTGAGTGATCCGAAACTGAGCCAGTGGATCGGTGAAGAAAGTGTTGACACCGTCTAAGATTCCCGTGAGCCAATCTCTTGTTTTGTTGGTTTACAAATTATGTGCTTAAATCGCGATTACTTCTTGCCCGTACTAATCGAGTGCTGACTTCTTCGACGATTGCATTAGTTTGGCGGAATTGATTGATACTGGAACTGGAAAGGCTCTTTGATATGGGATGTTCAAAAAGTTGTTCGCTGATAATTTAGCTAGTTCCCTTTTTGCTCAGAATAACGAGAAAGTGTCTCATGTTGTGATTATATGTCAGTTAACGGAATTCTTACACTACTACGATTAAAGTTCCATCCAGTGTACTTCTGCGATCCTACAGTTTTCGCGTTAGCCTTGCTTGAAGGGCGGAAAAAGATTCATTGGGTTTAGGGTCATGTTTTTTATCCGACGACCATTCCTGTTAAATTTTTTTGCTTTCAGCCACTTTTAGGCCGACTAAGCGCTCAGGAAAAATGTTGATGTACGAGTGTATCCGCATGCCTTCACGCAAGATTTGAAACGCGTAAAAGTAGTGATCATTTCTTCTCGCTGTGACTTTTTCAACATCCTGTAGAATCTGCGGTATTGTGACGTTTTGATCGGAGGCTTCACCTAATGACTGGTGATTTTTATTGTGAACTGAGTCCCGGAGGCTTTCGCTGCATCCCCGTGAAGTTCCCGTGCTTCTGTGATCAATTTTGTGAGCGTGAGATCGTCTTACATTAGCGTGAGATTGTCATTTTTACGATTTCGCTTTCGTATGTCGTGGCATTAACATTCCTTCGAATGAGAAACTCATATTCGATGTGGACCGTCCATCGAAACTTTCAGTTGAGCTTGTTCAGGTGTCAAGTCAGGAAATTGGATGGAAATGAAATTGTGTCATTTGTGAGGTCTACGTTGATTTCCTGCGTTCAAATCGCGGTGCTGATGGAATCGTCATCTGGTTTTTTTTTTTCTAGCTTTGAATCCTGATAACCGACGATGTGATCCGAGTTTTCCGGCGCACATGCAACAGAAGAATGAAACCTGGTGTTCAAGTGCAGCGTCGTAGAGCACGATTGGATTGAAATATTCGATCGAAGTTCTACCGTTTGACATTTTTATCTATGATCGTGCTTCTGAAGTATTGAGTTGAGGCTGATTTCATAGAAATTTAGTTTTGATGTTGGTCGAACCTCATGTGACAGCGCTGAGAAGTCTTGAAATCATGACCAAAAACGAACATTTTTATACTGGTTTCACTTGCAAAATTTAAAATGTACTTGAGGGAAGAAAATCCCTTGAGACTTTTTGAAAAAATTAACAGTAAATACTCGAACATTCTGAGTTTGTTCGGATGAGTTGAAGGTTCACCGGTTTAAGATCGTGGAACCTGATTTTTCGCGAAATTGTGATAAGACGTTGGCGGTTTGTGCAACCATCGTATTTTTTTCATGGATTTTACTTGTTGAATGTCAAATGTGAATGAGCATGGATGCGCCTCATATGAATAAACTACCTTTGGCTCAGCGAGAGTTCTTCGTTGTTTTGAGGTGCTACTAAGTGAACAGTTTTCGCAGTGAGTTTTTGATTTAGTAAAAGGCTTTACTCGCCTCTCAGTTCTATTAATTAAAAAGTCCGGATAAATGGATCATTTTAAGCCATTCAGGCTGCTTCGGATTTGATCGGGATTCTTATTCGAACATTTTTGTAGTGAATTCCTCAGACCTCCATTTCAGTCCCTTCATTGGTAACAGTAAACCTCAAGATGGTTGCGCTTAATTAAATTCAAAATATTTTTTTATGTGCTGGCAAGATCATATTCGCATTTGGCGAACGAACGGAATTCCGTTTTGAAGTAACTCCGTATTCAAAGGTAGCTTTTCACTAGCTTTGTTAGTGAAACAAGTTTCATTGCAACTGTCGCTAAGCGTTCAACGCACTACAGTATTGTATTTGAGCAGGGGAAAAAATCCCTCGGTGAAAAAACGAACGCATCTGATTAAGGCATGATGTATTCATGCTCATACGCCTGATTTTTCGCGAAATTGTGATAAGACGTTGGCGGTTTGTGCAACCATCGTATTTTTTTCATGGATTTTACTTGTTGAATGTCAAATGTGAATGAGCATGGATGCGCCTCATATGAATAAACTACCTTGGGCTCAGCGAGAGTTCTTCGTTGTATTGAGGTGCTACTAAGGGAACAGTTTTCGCAGTGAGTTTTTGTTTTTGTTTTAGTAAAAGGCTTTACTCGCCTCTCAGTTCTATTAAAAAGTCCGGATAAATGGATCATTTTAAGCCATTCAGGCTGCTTCGGATTTGATCGGGATTCTTATTCGAACAATTTTGTAGTGAATTCCTCAGACCTCCATTTCAGTCCCTTCATTGGTAACAGTAAACCTCAAGATGGTTGCGCTTAATTAAATTCAGAATATTTTTTTATGTGCTGGCAAGATCATATTCGCATTTGGCGAACAAACGGAATTCCGTTTTGAAGTAACTCCGTATTCAAAGGTAGCTTTTCAATAGCTTTGTTAGTGAAACAAAGTTTCATTGCAACTGTCGCTAAGCGTTCAACGCACTACAGTATTGTATTTGAGCAGGGGAAAAAATCCCTCGGTGAAAAAACGAACGCATCTGATTAAGGCATGATGTATTCATGCTCATACGCCCACGAAGTATTTTAGCGTCATTCAGTAAAAAAATCGTGCGTGTGCATTGTAAACCGAAGTCCAAATATTGCGCAGAGTAAATAACCCGCAATTCGAAGAAAAAAATGAAGATGTGCAGAAAGTATCAAGAGATGAAAAGTTGAGCCGGAAGTGGAGTCACTCTGGAAACACACGCGTTGCTACAAGTACAGTACTCGCTACCGATTGGTTCACTGATGGGGAAGCAAAAGAGGAGCAGCAAGCATTAGCTACTGGTATTTCCTCTGTGCGTAGTTCTGAGTCAAGTCTCTCCTGCTTTGAAGAGATTGCGAAGCGGAGTTACGCGCAGGTGTGAATTCGAAGTCTTCGTCTCGGAAAGTGGACTGGAAAAATGTTGATGGAATTCGGCACGGTGGCGGAGACATCACTTGCGGGCAAGCCTGGTAGCACAACTCACATCCATTCTGATTCCTTAGCACTTCATTTCGTTGCTGAAAGGAGAAAGAGGAATGAGATTTTGAGTCCGGCAATGAAAGGACTCAGAATTATTCAAAAAATCTACCTCGAGCTGGACTACATCGTCAATTTCAAGATTCTCTGGTGAAACCTTTTCAATATGGATTTTTATTTCTATCATTAATGATGGTTCTGGCAAAAGCCGCCAGGGATTAGCCTAGTGCCGCTGTTCTTAATCTGAAAGGGGCAAATAGAACACGGCTGACACATTCCTCAGTCTGATCGAGGGACTGCTTCGATTGAACGATTCTCAACTAGGGTTGAGTTGATTGTCTCAGGTGCCATGCATAAATCGCCGGACTATAAATTGTAATTGGTTCATCGTTCGTTTATTCACATAGAAACCAATTCATTTTATGATCCAAACAGCCTGGGCTTGATTAAATATCAAATCAGACTTTAAGTTATGTCAATAACTCAAGTCTCGTCTGAATTTTAATCGAGTTATCTCTAGCTTATTCAGCACTTCTGAAAATTACGGCAGTCCAGTGTTTACTGTCAAAGCTTACTATTGGATTATAGACTCCAGTATGTTGGGATGAGTGGACGCATGCATCGTGTAAATTTTACTTTGAATAGATCAGGTTCGCATCATCTTGATCGATGAGGAAGTCTGATTTTTGCACGCTGTCAGATTTTTCAACTTTTCAGCAGACATGGGAAGGAAAGTATACGGACACGGGACACTGCAGAAATCAGCTGGTCAATTGAACGAATTATAAAAAGTATTATTTTTTTGTCTTTTAAATTGAAAAATAATTTGATCACCAGAATTTGTGGGTGATGGAAGAACAGAACAGACATCAAGAAATAGTTTAGCACCGTATTGCGGTAAATAAGCGCGAATGAACATTGGACAGATATAGCAGTTATAGTTGGGGTCAAAATTAAGCAAGCGGAGTTGCCCGCTTGAATGCCATCGATCAATTCGACAGGAATCGCATGGAAAAAATCGAAGCTTTTTTCCTCGGAAAATCTTACAAATCCGGTGAATCCCGTAGAAGACCCGCTGCGGCAATAAGACGCATTTGCGTCCGAATCATCGCATCGCTGTCGCACCGCATCATCCGCGTCGTCGCAATACTTGGGCGGCTTACACAGCGCCGGCGGGCAGGGTGGCGTGCACGGCTCAGGTATGCAGCAAGGCGGCATGCAGCAACACGGCCTGGGTTTAATATACGGGATGCATCCGCAAGGCGGGATGGGGCACACTGGCGGAGTGGGCGTCGGGCACGGCGGCGGTGGGTCCGGGTACACGCAGCCCTTGCACGGGCACGCCACGGGCGTCGGACACGTGCCCGGACACTCTGGCGGCTTCGGGTCGCACGGTGGGTAAAGGCAACAGGGCTTCGGAGTCGGGCACGGGCAGCAATTGGGCACTGGACAGCAAGGCGGGCAACAGCAGGTCACTGGCTTGCAGCAGCTGCACGGGGGACACACCCCGCAGCAATCGTCGTCCAACAGCTCCCTGAATCTCCGCTTGGTCGCCATTCTGCCTGGTTGGGGCCTGAAGATGGTGCCCAGGTGTCTTAGTCCCACTAGGCACGATTGCAGTCCATTAATAAATTATTAATTCTTGATATAAACGAAGTCTAATTGATTTTGAAGCTGAGGCTGATAAGCTGGGGATAAAGGTAAAATTGTACAGTTTAAAAGCGACGCAGTATAACCTTGAGGCAATTTCCTTGGGTAGAACTAGAGACTCTCTCAGTCTGTCAGAAATTTTGTACAGTGTGACCCTTCAACAGCTTTTCCCCGTATCACCTTTTCAAGCGATGCCGATTCTTATTTAAGGATGATTGTCTTCCGTGTAAATTTCATTCTGTCACGCAGAATTTTAAATTAGTCCTAGCATTTTCAGCTCTTCGGAAGACAACTGTATTGGGTTTAACAAATATAACTATTTAATATACTTTAATTCTCTCTAGAAGAGCCTTCATCCATTTGAATGTGCACCATAGAACAGTGCTGACATTGAAGTATAAGTCGAAGACACTTGCGAAAAACCTCTAGGTAAAAAAA